AGGTTCCATACCATCACTGAACCTCCGCCATATCGGTCATGTTCCACAACGTAATTGCGATTTTTGGAATTTTCGCATTCTGATGAATTAAAAGAACAATCATTTTTTTTCAAAAATAAACTCAGTATACCCGGTAAACCAAATAAAATATTTATTTTCACATATGTCCAAAAATAAAAGTGATTCTTAGCAAAATATGAGTAGTATATAAACGAAGTGTATGGCCTACCTGGGGACAGGGGTATAGGGCTCTATTGGGGAACATTTAAATCTTAAAACAATACTACCACACAACTAAAGGAGTTTGGCACAACAATGGTCTGGGGCGATCTTGGGCCAGAGGATTCAATGTTAGAAAAATGGAACGTGTAGTCATCCCTGGGAGTATAAACGTAGACTGGCGGGCCCATTATGAGGTCAAATATTTGGCAAATTTTCTAAAGGGGGAAGCTGTTATATGGTGTGGGCAGCAAAAGGGCCCTGGTCGTGTGTAGTGGTACAGGAATTGTTAAAGGGACCTGGTCGAGGGTAGTGGTACAGGGATTATTAAAGGGGCCTGGTCGAGTTTAGTGAACAGGGTGTTACTTGTTAAATGGGCCTGGTCGAGTGTGGTTGAACATGGATTGTTAAAGGGCCTGGACAAGTGTAGTGAGACGGGGATTGTTAAAGGAACCTGGTTGAGTGTAGTGCAACAGGGATTGTTAAAAGGCCCTGGTCAAGCGAATTGGAACAGGGATTGTTAAAGGGACCTGGTCGAGTGTGGTTGAACAGGGATTGTTAAAGGGCCTGGTCAAGTGTAGTGAGACAGGGATTGTTAAAGGAGCCTGGTCGAGTGTAGTGGAACAGGGATTGTTAAAGGAACCTGGTCGAGTGTAGTGGAACAGGGATTGTTAAAGGGACCGGGCCCAGTGCAGTGGAACAGGGATTGTTAAAGGGGCCGGGTCGAGTGTATATATAGTGGAACAGGAATTGTTTAAATGACCTGGTCGCGTGTAGTGGAAAAGGGATTGTTAAAGGGACCTGGGCGAGTGTAGTGGAACAGGGATTGTTTAAGGGACCTGGTCGCGTGAAGTGTAACAGGGATTGTTAAAGAGGCCTGGTTGAGTTGTTGGACAGGAAACGTTAAAGGGACCTGGTCAAGTGTTGTGGAACAGGGATTGTTAAAGGGACTTGGTCGAGTGTAGTGGAACAGGGATTGTTATAGGGACCTGGTTGAGCGAAGTGGAACAGGGATTGTTAAAGGAACCTGGTTGAGTGTAGTGGAACAGGGATTTTTAAAGGGACCTGGGCGATTGTAGTGGAACAGGGATTGTTAATGGAACCTAGTTGAGTTTAGATGAACATGGATTGTTAAGGGGCCTGGTCAAGTGTTGTGGGACAGGGATTGTTAAAGGAACCTAGTTAAAGTGTAGTGGGACAGGGATTGTTAAATGGGCCTGGTCGAGTGTAGTGGAGCAGGGATTGTTGTGAAGGGACCTGGTCGCGTGTAGTGGAACAGGGGTTGTTAAAGGGTCCTGGTCGAGTGTAAAGGAACAGGGATTGTTAAAGGGGCCTGGTCGAGTGTAGTTGAACAGGGATTGTTAAAGGAACCTGGTCGTATGTAGTGGAACAGGGATTGTTAAAGGGACCTGGTCCAGTGTAGTGAGACAGGGATTGTTAGAGGGTCCTGGTCGAGTGTATATATAGTGGAACAGGAATTGTTAAAAGGACCTGGTCGCGTGTAGTGGAACAGGGATTGTTAAAGGGACTTGGTCGAGTGTAGTGGAACAGGGATTGTTAAAGGGACCTTGTTAGAATGTAATGCTACAGGGATTGTTAAAGGGACCTGGCCGAGTGTAGTGGAACAGGGATTGTTAAAGGGACTTGGTCGAGCGTAGTGGAACAGGGATTGTTAAAGGGACTTGGTCGAGAGTAGTGGAACAGGGATTGTTAAAGGGACCTGGCCAAGTGTAGTGGAACAGGGATTGTTAAAGGGACTTGGTCGAGTGAAGTGGAACAGGGATTGTTAAAGGGACTTGGTCGAGAGTAGTGGAACAGGGATTGTTAAAGGGACTTGGTCGAGTGAAGTGGAACAGGGATTGTTAAAGGGACTTGGTCGAGTGTAGTGGAACCGGGATTGTTAAAGGGACTTGGTCGAGTGTAGTGGAACCGGGATTGTTAAAGGGACTTGGTCGAGCGTAGTGGAACAGGGATTGTTAAAGGGACCTGGTCGAGTGTAAAGGGACAGGGATTGTTAAAGGGGCCTGGTCGAGTGTATAAAAGAGTGGAACAGGAATTGTTAAAAAGACCTGGTCGCGTGTAGTGGAACAGGGATTGTTAAAGGGACCTGGGCGAGTGTAGTGGAACAGGGATTGTAAAAGGGACCTGGTCGCGTGTAGTGTAACAGGGATTGTTAAAGGGGCCTGGTCGAGTTGTTGGACAGGGAACGTTAAAGGGACCTGGTCAAGTGTTGTGGAACAGGGATTGTTAAAGGGACTTGGTCGAGTGTAGTGGAACAGGGATTGTTAAAAGGACCTGGTCAAGCGAATTGGAACAGGGATTGTTAAAGGAACTTGGTTGAGTGTAGTGGAACAGGGATTGTTAAAGGGACCTTGGCAAGTGTAGTGGAACAGGGATTGCTAATGGAACCTAGTTGAGTTTAGATGAACATGGATTGTTAAAGGGGCCTGGTCGAGTTTAGTGAACAGGGTTTGTCAAAGGAACTTGGTCCAGTGTAGTGAGACAGTGGAGTGAGACAGGGATTGTTAAAGGGGCCTGGCCGAGTGTAGTGGGACAGGGATTGTAAAAGGGACCTGGTCGCGTGTAGTGGAACAGGGATTTTTAAAAGGACCTGGTCAAGCGAATGTGGAACAGGAATTGTTATGTTAAAGGAACCTGGTCGAGTGTAGTGGTACAGGGATTGTTAAAGGGACCTGGTCCAGTGTAATGGGACAGGGATTGTTAAAGGGACCTGGTCCAGTGTAATGAGACAGGGATTGTTAAAGGGACCTGGCCGAGTGTAGTGGGACAGGGATTGTTAAAGGGACCTGGTCGAGTGTAAAGGAACAGGGATTGTTAAAGGGGCCTGGTCGAGTGTATAAAAGAGTGAAACAGGAATTGTTAAAAGGACCTGGTCGCGTGTAGTGGAACAGGGATTGTTAAAGGGACCTGGTCGCGTGTAGTGTAACAGGGATTGTTAAAGGGGCCTGGTCGAGTTGTTGGACAGGGAACGTTAAAGGGACCTGGTCAAGTGTTGTGGAACAGGGATTGTTAAAGGAACTTGGTTGAGTGTAGTGGAACAGGGATTGTTAAAGGGACCTTGGCAAGTGTAGTGGAACAGGGAACGTTAAAGGGACCTGGTCGAGTGTAGTGAAACAGGGATTGTTAAAGGAACATAGTTGAGTGTATTGGGACAGGGATTGTTAAAGGGGCCTTGTTAGAGTGTAGTGCTACAGGGATTGTTAAAGGGACCTGGCCGAGTGTAGTGCGACAGGAATCATTAAAGGGACCTGTTTGAGTGTAGTGGGACAGGAATTGTTAAAGGGACCTGGTCGAGTGTAGTGGAACAGGGATTGTTAAAGGGACCTGGTCGAGTGTAGTGGGACAGGGATTGTTAAAGGGACCTGGTCCAGTGTAGTGGGACAGGGATTGTTAAAGGGGCCTGGTCGAGTGTAGTTGAACAGGGATTGTTAAAGGAACCTGGTCCAGTGTAGTGAGACAGGGATTGTTAAAGGGGCCTGGTCCAGTGTAGTGGAACAGGGATTGTTAAAGGGACCTGGCCGAGTGTAGTGGGACAAGGATTCTTAAATGGGCCTGGTCGAGTGTAGTGAGACAGGGATTGTCAAAGGAACTTGGTCCAGTGTAGTGAGACAGGGATTGTTAAAGGGACCGGGTCCAGTGTAGTGAGACAGGGATTGTTAAAGGGACCTGGTCCAGTGTGGTGGAACAGGGATTGTTAAAGGGACCTGGTCGAGCGTAGTGGAACAGGGATTGTTAAAGGGACCTGGCCGAGGGCAGTGGGACAAGGATTCTTAAATGGGCCTGGTCGAGTGTAGTGAGACAGGGATTGTTAAAGGGACCGGGTCCAGTTTAGTGAGACAGGGATTGTTAAAGGGACCTGGTCGAGTGTAGTGGGACAGGGATTGTTAAAGGGGCCTGGTCGAGTTTAGTGAACAGGGTTTGTCAAAGGAACTTGGTCCAATGTAGTGAGACAGGGATTGTTAAAGGGACCTGGTCCAGTGTGGTGGAACAGGGATTGTTAAAGGGACCTGGTCCAGTGATTGTTAAAGGGACCTGGTCCAGTGTAGTGAGACAGTGATTGTTAAAGGGACCTGGCCGAGTGTAGTGCGACAGGAATTATTAAAGGGACCTGTTCGAGGGTAGTGGGACAGGGATTGTTAAAGGGACCTGGTCCAGTGATTGTTAAAGGGACCTGGTCCAGTGTAGTGAGACCGGGATTGTTAAAGGGGCCTGGTCCAGTGTAGTGGAACCGGGATTGTTAAAGGGACCTGGTCCAGTGTGGTGGAACAGGGATTGTTAAAGGGACCTGGTCCAGTGTGGTGGAACAGGGATTGTTAAAGGGACCTGGTCCAGAGTAGTGAGACCGGGATTGTTAAAGGGGCCTGGTCCAGTGTAGTGGGACAGGGATTGTTAAAGGGGCCTGGTCGAGTGTAGTTGAACAGGGATTGTTAAAGGAACCTGGTCGTATGTAGTGGAACAGGGATTGTTAAAGGGACTTGGTCGAGTGTAGTGGAACAGGGATTGCTAAAGGAACCTAGTTGAGTGTAGTGGGACCGGGATTGTTAAAGGGACCTGGCCGAGTGTAGTGCGACAGGAATTATTAAAGGGACCTGTTCGAGGGTAGTGGGACAGGGATTGTTAAAGGGACCTGGTCCAGTGTAGTGAGACAGTGATTGTTAAAGGGACCTGGCCGCGTGTAGTGGAACCGGGATTGTTAAAGGGACCTGGTCCAGTGTGGTGGAACAGGGATTGTTAAAGGGACCTGGTCCAGTGATTGTTAAAGGGACCTGGTCCAGTGTAGTGAGATAGGGATTGTTAAAGGGACCGGGTCCAGTGTAGTGAGACAGGGATTGTTAAAGGGACCTGGTCCAGTGTAGTGGAAAAGGGATTGTTAAAGGGGCTTAACCTTATTTTGTTGTGTTCAAAGGTATACAGTTAAGTATTTGGGTAATAATAATCATTGTAGCATTGAACTTTATTTATTGAGGATATTAAACCTGTTTAGCAGAGCTAATCTTCCACAGGGTCCTCTGTTAGTAAAAGGGTTAGTTAAAATCCTCATGTAATAGAAAATAAATGAGCATTCAAATTATCATCACAGTAAGCATATACATAAAAGTAGTTGAGGTTATTAAACTACTAGAATTAGACTAAATTTATATATACAATTTAAAGGTCATTTACATTTACACTATTCTAAGCTGAGCCAATATGGTATTCAGTAAAAGACCAAATGTCTAAATTGCATATATGCTAATGTAGCAAAAACTAAAAATGGACAGCATACACGCTAATATAGCGTAACTAAAACCATAAAAAAGCTATATTAAGAGGTTTTTTTTGATAAAAATAAAAAAGACTCAAACTGTATTCCTAATGCTTCCAATCCTATTTTGTTTGAATTAAGGAAGGGAGGATGCACGTCGTGTTTCTACTGTTTAGCAGTTCCGAATGTGGTTCCCTTCCACCACCAACTGTTTTGGATAAAAGGAAGTACGATGTTTTAGTACTTGTATGAAGTTTTGGGAAGCTGATCTTGTACGGGTGTCATTATAATAATTGAACTGTGTAGATAGGTGTTCAGGTACAAGATTATTGACACATTTATACACACTTACACCACTTTTAAATTTCAAATAATGGCGACTTGGAGTTTCCACTGGCAAGTCTCGTCAAATGAGTTGTTGGCTACACTCAGTCGCGCGTCATCTTTTGCATTTTCCATTTTGACAAAGCAAGTTGGTCGCTTCTTTGATGAAAACATGACATTTCCATTGGATAGCCGTACGATGTTGAATTTGACACGTTGTTCTGCTTGGGTCGTTCTAGAAGCTTCTAAGAGATCTCCATTCATCTTCCACGTAAAGTCATCATGTTCACAGAGATGTATTGTGAAATCTCGATTACCCTCAGATTTCATCAAAAATTTCGTTTCAGTATTTTCCACGAACGTTTTGACGCGAACGTATCTTGTCACTGTGAACAGCTTTCTAGTATTAGGAGAACACCGAAACATCGCAAACCTGTCGTTAGAGGCAGACACAACATTCCAGTGACGATCTATCAAATCACTTAAGTCGGGACGCGATTCCAGTTGCTGACTGAGCTTTGGCCATGTTTTATGATTGAACAAGGCAGAAACACTTGCATCTTTCGCTTCAGGTTCATGAAGAACTTTCAAAAAGGCTTCTTTGATGTTTTTGAAATGTTCTCGTCTCTCAAGATAACTTTCTGTTATATTCTCGGGAACTCTGTTGTTGGCGAGTATTGTAACAAGGTAGTACATAACAAACTCTCTCAAACAGGACAGAACACAATACAGATCAATGTGGGCGATGATAGCATTGCACCTTTGTAATGTATCCTTTTCATTTTCCTCTGTCTCTTTCTTTTCCTTCTTTCCTGTCTGCTTGGTTGCTTTTCCATTTTGAAGTTCCTTTATTTTGTATTCAAGCACTCCAAGGAACTCGGTACCCGTATCTCGCGGTACCTGACCTAGCACTATACAAATTTCATGGTCGTTGAGTTTCCGTTGGTGTATGGCCTTGAGATAGTGAAGAGAGGAAGATAAAGCACTATACACAGCAAATGTTTTTTTCTGAGTGTCGTCGTCAAGATAAGTCTGCTGTTCAATTACCTTCATTTTGGATGACTTTTTGGAGAGAAACGTAAACAATATCAGAAGTCCTTTGATCCCCACGGAGGCTAAGGTAAATGGGAGACCTAATGGCATAAGTTGGCCCATCAAATCAAGAACTCCTGCGATAGCATCAAAAATCTTTTCTGGATCTTTGATAGCTTCACAGAAACGTTGCTTTAGTTTACGTATACCTGCTTTTTCGAAACGTTGGTCGCTAGCGGGGTTTTGTAGATTATCGAGACTTTCCTTCAATCCATTGATTTGGAGAAGTTCGTTTAATTTTCTCTCATCTTCTTCAGTTGCCATCTGAAATATCCCAGATTAAAGAACATAATACACGATAATCATATTTTATTGTCACCTGACTATAAAGGACAGCATGTACCACATAAATCCAGTATGGATTTGGAACCGTTAATGGATATAATGATAAAGAAAGTGAAATGACCGACTTTTTGTTGCTTTTTTCTGTTAGTTTTAATGATTCCCGTTCTATTGCAAAACATTACAAAACGGATCGGAAACATTTTTCCACCATGACTAATTTTCTAAAAAAAGCACCTAACAGGAAGCAAGTCTAAATCTAGAAAATAAGGTTGGTCAGAAAAATCAGAAATAAAATTCATTAAAAATTTGTGCATTGGAGCAGTTCACTGCAATATCGTAATCATTTATATTGTTGTCGCTTCGTATTTTCCTTCTCAGATTATATAAGCTATATGACCTGTACCAGATAAACCCACAGAGTAGAGGGACAGGGATCCTTATAAATCACAGTACAGAGGGACAGGGATCGTTTAAAACCATAGTGCAGCAGGACGGGGATCATTCAAAAACAAATTGCAGAAGGACAGGGATCCTTTAAAACCACAGTGCAGAAAGACAGGGATCCTTAAAATGATAAAGTGAAGAGGGGCTGGGATTCTAAAAAAAAAACACACAGTGAAGAGGGACAGGGATCCTTTAAAAACAAATTGCAGAGGGGCAGGGATCCTAAAAACCACAGTGGAGAGGGACAGTGATTCTTTACAACCACAGTGCAGAAGGACAGTGATCCATTATTAAAACCACAGTGCAGAGGAACAGGATCATTAGAAAACACTGGTAGTGGGACAGTGATTCTTAAAAAAACAAATCGCAGAGGGACAGGGATCCTTAAAAAGCACAGTGCAAAAGTACATTGATCCTTAACAACTAGGTACAAAGGGACAGGGATCCTTAAAATCACATTGCAACGGGACAGGGATCCTTAAAGTCACATTGCAACGGGACAGGGATCCTCAAATAGATATGTTACATTTTATAGCGTCCAACCTAATTCTAATTGTAAGATAGTGTATGCTTAATACAATCAAGGTATTACAGAAGAAGCCATTCTCCGTAAAACTTTACTCAAACCAAAACAGGTGGATTTGATCACCAACGCCATAATCATATTCTTCCACACTTACGACCTTGAGGTCAGTAGACCGTCGCGCTACCGCGTGTGCCAGCATGTTAAAAGTATCACGTTACATTGATAATGATCATAGAATGTGCTGAAGCTCCTATACTCCGTGTAACATTAAACAGAAATCGTCTCTGTAGTGGACGTGCTGAGGTGTTATCATATATCTTAGGATAAATACGTTTTCACACGAAACTATCTATTATACAAATATGAACGACATCTTTTATGCGACTCCCTATTGTAATCGTGCCGGAGTAACACCAGTAGTCGGGCAGGTGGCCCACATATTACCCATTGGGGTATCGATCCCAACGTGCCGTGGACAAAAACGAGGGAGCTAACAAAATTACAATAAAATGGAATCAATTACGTGTCGTAAACGATTTTATAATTGGAGATCATTTTCATATATATCAGGAACGCTTTACCAATTGAGAGACCTGATCGCAAACGATCGACCAAGTCCACTTCCGCTACATCTTTCCTCCTTTTTTTCCAAGTCTTCGCCCTCGCAGAAACAACTATTTACAACCCAAAGTCAGGTATCCCCTTGCACAGCGTTCTCCCAATGCATAATACAAGGGTTGACAAAGTCACCAATTTTGTTTCAGAAGAAAAAGAAAATGTCAACGCCAGACCAGGGTTCGAACTCGGGACCCTCCGAGCTCTATACGACGACGATCGACCCAGTCTAGTTCCGCTACAAATCTGTTATCATCTTCTTTAGAAGAGATATTGCATTAGAGTTAAGGGGAATAGGGAAGTTGTAGTGACATGGTTCGTTCAGCATAGTGATACAAACACAATATATTAAGATTTTCAAGTTGCGTATATGCAATAATGTTGTGATGGCGAGAAACGCGCGGCTATGACTTTCGTTAAAGAAACGTAAATAAAGAGATAAAACCTGTAATACACTAGCTATACAACATCGGCGATGTCAAACTATAAATAGAATAGCTGTTTACCTTACAACTGTGTGAGGAATTTCACTGTATCCTGTAATCTGTCTGATGTTTGAAATGCTGCACAGATTTGTTGCGTTTTGTCGGATGAACCTCCTAGATCTACCCTACCTAAACTTCCCAAAGATTGTTTGAGTTAATAGCGGTGTAAATAAATACTTCCACACCCCTCATCCTGCTCAGTGTAAAACCTGTTCTACAGGTTGTGATGCAAGGTCAAACAATCTATATTTAGGTACGCATTCATGCAATGCAAATGACAAACGCTTCCCATTTTCCTGTCACAACGACCGATTCGAAAGTAATGCTTATTTTTGTTTTGTTTTCTATAACCAGCTATTTTTTTTGAAGAACACATTTTTTTTTATTGCACAATTTTGACGTGACTGTTAATTCCTTTAGACTTCAACTGACGAGAAACCTCAAAATCGGTTGATGCTGATTGAAAGAGTATTTGTGTAGACGTTGCAATCGATCAGTCCAAATAAATGTTACTTGGTAACGGGTTACGAAGCAGGACTGTTAGAAGATATCGGGTGGGACATTGATGGGTGAGTTAAAGTCTATTTTATATCATCCTCGTATTTACATTTCAGGTTGTCGACATATGTGTCATGTTATTCTTGAAAAACAATTGCAAGATGTTACCACACATAACACGTAACTTGTTAAGACATTTGTGACTGACCTCGTTTTGATTTGAATACAAACTTTTCCTGTGAACATGTTCACGTGACCTGGAAGCTTGAACGTTTCAGTGATGAATGGAGGGAACAAGTTCATAGAAAAACGTGTGTTGTAGTGCCTGTATTAAACCATTAAAGATTCATGTGCCACTGTAAAGAACTGTAACTACACATTGAAACTATTAAAGATTCATGCGCCACTGTAAAGAACTGTAACTTGCCAATATGACTATAGCTTACAAGTTTCTGAATAGAAAACCATACCTTATGGGACACTTATAAATTATTTATAGTGAAATACAATGTAAACAAGATATATCAACAGCAGTTTTCTGAGTTTAAAAAGATCAGCGGGGCTAAACCAGGATTCGAACCACAGAACCTCGGAATTCGCTATGACCGAGTGAGCCACCTATTGAACGGAAGTCCCTTCGCTCAATTGTGATACTGTTTGTATTTAGTTAACAGATCCCCGGGTAAAAAGTGAAATATAATCGTATTTGTCTTCGTCAACGGTCAGCATTCTTTCATAAGTATTATACGTCATTAAGGCGCTTGTTAAACATCTGATTTCACCCATTGAGAGAGCCTGAACCTAAGTGTTTATCTTAGATGGCCAACAAAACATCCTTGTCCGATTACTCTTGTAAGCAGAAATTAATACTCATGTTATTTTTCCATAAAGGTGTTGATCCCATTTTAATGTATACATGAACAAAAGGTCAAAGGCCACTAAGGTCGCGGCGCAATATCTGGAAAGACAAAACATGAAGGCACTGTGCGCAGCACAATTTCGGTTGGGCATTTTTTGTCTTAAAAGTGTATCATAAATATCGAATTACTTCAAATATAATTATCATTTCCATGATGTGCTAAATCATTTACCATTTCAACAGTTCATATCTTACTGGCTATCGTTGAATCAGTTTATCATAGTGTAGTTCAATACAAAAGATATGAAAAGGGACTAGTGATTTGAATGCAAACCTTCAAAGCAATGTTGGAAGAAAATACTATAATGCTTCTTCAATGTGGGAAGAAAATACTATAATGCTTCTTCAATGTGAGAAGAAAATACTATGATGCCTCTTGTTTGTTTACAGTGAAGTATATCGATATGGCAACGGCTTCAATCGAAGAAAACAAAGAACTTTCAGAGGCATTTGACGTTATTCACGAATATCCAAGGAACCGCTGCGAGGAAAGCGACGAGATCGTACAGGGATTAACAGCTTTATTTGAAAATTTCAACAAGGATTCGAAAGGAACACCCGAGATTATTCTTAAATCGGTCACTTTGGCACGAGTGTTTAGTTTCCCAAAGATAAGTCCTAAGATTGCTCGCTCTCTACTCGTGGTTTTTCGTCATGTCTGGAAAACTTACTCGGATTTCTACAGTGTCCCTGAGCATGCCACACTTAGCAGTAACCTGAAGGCAAATGCCTTTGGCTTCCTGTGTAAACTAAAGGACTCGTTAAGTTGTCTGATTTCGCTCAACGGAAACAACTCTGATCCAAAACGGATATCAACTGCATGTTCCGAAGTTCCACCATGTGGCACAGGAAACGAATTTCATGCTGAAGTGCAGTCTGAGATTCAGGAGTTGAAAAAACAGAAAAACAAAGAAAAAAGTGAAGAAACTGAAACTCGATATCAAGCAATAGTTGATCTCCTTGACTTGCACTGCAATCTTGCAGTTTTGAAGGAATTCGTTTTTCTTTATATAGTCATTCTATGCATTGCAAATGGAAATTCGCAGAATACTGCCGAGGGTTATTTTAAGGTTATTGAAGGTCAACGTATGGACAGGGATTCTACATTGAAGATACTTTTTGAACCAGAAGCTGAATTCGCTGGTGTTTCTGCTGTATTTATGAACGGCGATTGGCCGATGTGAAAAATGCTAATCAAAAGGAGTCTTTCATGTCAACTTGAATACTTAAACAGATTAGCTGGGGAAAAGGTCATAATAGTATCTTCTGAGGATAAAACGTTTGCAATGTTTCGACATCCATCAGGAAAGATCATACCGTTCACACAGAAGAAATATCTACGTGTGTTCCAGGACAAGCGCACGCTGTTTATCATGGAAAAGGAAACTGAAGCGAACAAAACTTACTTCGTGATTCGTCTTGATAGGCAAAGGGAAATGGCGTTAATGATCAATGACAATGCGAAAGGAAATGCAATGGTGGACACAAACGTGCCTGGCGAAAACGGCCAGTTCAACCTGGTGCAATTGGCTAATGACAACGTAATGCTTTCATGTGTGAAACATCCCACACGCTTTGTTACTATGACTAGCGCTAAAGATGACGCCTGTCTTGAGACAAAGAACAGCGGAGCTGGTTTGAACAGTCAGTGGAGTATAGTCGTGTTACAGAACAAAACAATCGAGAAGCCAATGATATCTGTCTTCTTAAAATGCCTGTCCGACTGCAGGCAAAACACATAAATAGTTTCACTTCAATTGTTGTACAAACAGTAACTTCATCTTAATTTCGTGTTAGCTATCAGTGTAGCGTGACTTGACCAGGGTACACTGGTGTGACTAAGTAGCTCGGATGGTCAGAGCCACAGTACTACGACCAGAAACCAGGGGTCGAATCCTGGCCTAGCCCAGTTGGTTAGAGCCACAGTTGCATTTGTACACTCGGAACACCATCTATATTTTTTTCACCATTAATTTTATTAATGTTTCCCATTAATGTTTCACAAGTGATGTTTTTCTTTTAAGATTAGGTTTATTAAAGCTGTACACATGCCGGGAAAAGTATCTGATTTAGAGTTACTGTGTTAAGAGTCTGAATATGAGGACTAATATAATATCTCGCTCATTTCGGGGTGAAAGGGAAATCTCAGCCCGAGAGGAAAGATTCCTGGGTTGCCAAACACGAGGCTTTGGCGAGTGTTTGGCAACTAAAGAATCTTTTCCCGAGGGTCGAGATTCCCCTATCTCATTCTTAAGGGGTGAATGATTCTTGTTTCTACTACCCTGTTCACCTATTGTGTATCATATAAATAATGTAGTGTTAAAGTTAAAGGCTACATTTAGGGTTGACGTGACGTTGATGAATGGTTGACGTAATGTCATGTCCAGGGTAAGAGAACATGGGATCAATGGTAAGTGCATTAAGACAACATGACTGTAACTGAACTATATATTTTCAGTTATACAAGTATTAAATGTTATTTAACAGCGAACAATAAAACCAAAATATTCCTTGTTATGTCGTGTAAAGGTGTTTTAATGACATGCATACCAAAAACGGCGACTGTCTTGAAGCAAAGAACATCGGAACTGGATTTAACAGTCAGTGGCATATTGTCAATTGCCAAGTTTATCTCGACACTTAAATCGATTTAACATTATCGACCAGATATTTAATATTCCTTCATCGCGGTGTTTTGAAGTAGAATACAATACTCAGAGTCACAGGTAGAGATGTCAAATCGAATCAGGTTTACATCTTCAGACAGCCTTCACAGTGTGTATAATAAAACATCTGGAAAATGACGAGTTTAATTGCTTACGGAATCTCAGTGTGAATCAGTATGCTTGTATCTTCGTTCAGTGGACTAGATGGACATTAAGTATAAGCGACGCCGATTTGTTCGTTTTAAGATCCCTATTTCACAGCAGAGAAAACCCTTAAGAGTTCGACGTCAGTTTTTGGACACACAGTAACCTCCCCTTAACTTTATTTTAAATGGAGTTGTCAACGGTAAACCGGTTACTCGGTTGGAAGACCACGATAACAAAACCATTAACCGAATAATCGGGCATTCATTTACTCCCTTGAGGAGAGCTATGCCTCCCTTGCTTAGACTTACAAAACTATCTATATATGTTTTTGTACTCTATTGTAAATATTGACAAAGAGATGCTGACGACGCCATACAAAACGGAACAGATTTTGAAAGGCAGCGAGAACACAAAGTTGTGATATATGCTGAGGTTAAATGCGCTTTTACATGCAATATGTACACACTTGAATGCGCAAGCATGTCTTAAAACGTTTGCCGATTAAATTGTGTTGTACAGAACAATATAACCACACATTATCAGTGCAGATACTTATTAGTTAATCCCGTCTTACTGTATTTCAACATTTGTTGTCCATGAAATATACTTACTGAGGATACATGACACCATTTACTGCGTTTAGCTTGAAAATGTGATGAAACCTTGAGCTGGAGAGCCATTGTTTGCTGACACTTTGGGGAAAGACGATTAGTTCCGTCTTTTCCTGAATAAGCTTAAGCATGTTGGCGTTCATCCAGATACTGATATCTGTCAGACAAACTTCCAGACTTTATGAGACTATTCCAACTGTTCTGTGGTACATTGTATTAGTCAGTAGATTTTTCCAACTTGTAGATGACTTCTCCAAATAAATCATATTTCGCGCGGTTGACTACAAGGAATGAGCGCGAAATAGTTTTCTCTAATGGTTAGCCCAGTAGGTGGCACATATGTATTGACATGACAGGCACGTGCAGCTGCTGGCAAGTCAGTTCAGGGCAATGCACTGGTCAGGACGGACGGTTTAATTTTTCATTAAAGTTTCTTATATATACTATGTACATTGATTCTGATAGTTATTGACCAGGACGATGGAAGTGTTTGTGTAAATGTTGTGAACTTGATAATTAATTGGCATCACTGGTGCAGGCCGGTGCGTTGTGAACAGCCTATGAGTGTTTGTTGTTGCCACCTGGGGTGGGTCATTGGAAAACATACATTACATATTTACAATTGAGCTCAGGTGTTGGCACGAAAGATAATATACATTAAGAAACAAACAAATTGATGAAACATATCACAGTGAAATTCATGAGTTGNGGGTGGGGGGGGGTTAAAGAGAGGTGAGGGTATAAATAGAGAAACAGAGAATTAATCAAATCTTCCCGACCCACCTAATTTTGAACTTATTAAGCAATTTTATTATTACAGAGTAAGTTTACATCAATAACACCATCATGCCATGCTAAATCTGTGTGAAATAGTCTACGTAAGTTCTGATATAGGGTACAAAAAGGTAAAAAATGATCAGAATCTTCACAGGGATGCCCACATCGACACTCTGCTGAATCTATTAAGTTGGCTATAAAAAGATCATAGTTGAGTGGGCTTGCTCGGTTTCTTAGACGACAGTGATTAAGTCAACATTGACTAAACAAAGAATAGTTCTGGTGAACATTGATAAGGGAATTTATTATCAGAATATAATCCATCATACATAGGTAAATGTGTTTATATACAGGATCCTTAAACATAGTTTAGTTTTAAATTACATCTGAGTATTACATCTGCATCACTGACCAACTTATGCTGTTGACTAGAGGTTAGGTGAAGACAATTCACGATGATATTTATTGGCACGGATAGGAAGGTGATTGTACAAGTTTTAATGGTTTTTGAGGGTTCCCACTCAGTTCCAGGTTCAAATGTAACCTTATTCAAAGCAGATGCAAGTACGTAGGCCACATTGACAGAAGTTCAACTGTAATGTATCATAATGCAGATAGTGGATTCAAACTATCGTTACAGATTTATTAGTTCGACCGACCACCTGGTCAAACCTGTTTGATTTGGCACATGTACAGGTAACATATCAATCAAGTAATAAATCAGGGATCGGTGGCCATGTTCCAATTGTAAGCACAGCATTAACATGTCAGCGCTGCGACGAGAACGTTCCGTGTTCCATACTGATCTACCTGGTTTGGTGCCTAAAGTTTTTGACGGGTGCATGCACATGTTTACAGGACAGAAACTCAATCATCGCTATAATGTGGTATATCTAAGTACAAATTGTCTGTCAGAGGTGACTACAATGGTCGCACATTATGAGTACTACCCGTTACTCAGTTATTAAAAGCTGTCAATTTGAAAATAGATGTGTTTGAGCGAGCTTCGCGAGGCTATTATGGAATGTGTAGTCATACCAGTGGGTCACGAAGCAATGATTAAATCAACTGTTGCTGATGCTTACTATCTGTCCTCAAAAACATTGATACCGGCAATTATGTCATGGGTTGGCGATTGCCCGTACCTTAGTCGACGCTGCGGAATACATATTTTAGACGAGAGTGTTTAGTCTTAGTAACTACGATGTTACTATACGCAAGCACATGCACATGACATTATTTATACCTGTAAGAAGGATAAAAGAAATTTACCCAGAGTCGAAGGTATTTTTCAAGTGCACCCGACTTCACAAGAATTACCAAAATATTTCACTCCAATTTTTGGAAAAGGCTGCCCGGCCTTCACAGTGAACAGTGCATAGTGTTTAAACATTTTTTATTGCAAAACAAGGCTTAGCCAGACCAGGAGAGGTCAGTTGGACAAATCTGGGGACCTGTCAGATAAAACTTACAGACCAGGTGATAAATATCTCCTTACTAGAGTGACAGTACAGTGTGATGAACTTACACTAGCAGGGCTTGGTAGGATCATCTGGCTCGACTGTGATCGCTCAGGAGTGTCATTTACTGGATGGAAAGAAAAAATATTTCAGTGATATACTAGTAAGAGGCCCACAGGGCCTGAATTGCTCACTCACTCACCTGATATTAATCTCAAACTTGTTACCTTAAATATGGATTAAAATAAATCTAATGGCAAAATATCAGGATATATGTCTCTAAGTTATTAAAAAGAACCTGTTTAAAGATTTAAACACATTTGAACCATGTAATCTTGCAAGTCTAACAAGGTCATTCAATTAAACAAACTTTATAGCATCCCAGCATGCAATTTGCAAAATATTACCACCCAAAACTTATACTTGGGTAATACTTTATTATAAATGTAACTTATACTTGGGTAAGAATTTATTGTATATGTACCTTATACATGGGTAAGACATTACGATACATTTACCTTATACTTGGGTAGAATTTACTGTAAATGTAACTTATACTTGGGTAAGAATTTACTGTAACTGTAACTTATACTTGGGTAAGAATTTACTGTAAATGTAACTTATACTGTGGATTTTTTTTACTGAACATATAACTTATACTTGGGTAAGACTTTACTGTACATGTACCGTATACTTGGGTAAGAATAAACTGTACATGTACCTTATTCTTGGGTAAGAGTTTACTGTAAATGTAACTTTTTCTTGGGTAAGAATTTACTGCAAATGTAACTTATACTTGGGTAAGAATTAACTGTACATGTACCTTATACTTGGATAAGAATTTACTGTAAATGTAATTTATACTTTGGTACGAAATACATGTGCATGTCACTTATACTTAATTAAGAATTAACTGTACATTTAACTTATACTTGGGAAAGAATGTTCTGTGCATTTACCTTATACTTGGGTTAGAATTAACTGTAAATGTAACTTATATTTCGGTAAGACTTTACTGTAAATGTAACTTATACTTGGGTAAGAATTGACTGTATATGTACCTTATACTTGGGTAGGAATTTAGTGTAAATGTAACTTATATTTCGGTAAGACTTTACTATAAATGTAACTTATACTTTGGTAAGAATTATCTGTACATGGAACTCATACTTGGTTAAGAATTTACTGTACATGTACCTTATATTTGGGTTAGCATTTAAATGTAAATGTGACTTATACTTTGGTAGGAATTTACTGTACATGTACCTGATACTTGGGTAAGAATTTACTGTACATATAACTTATACTTGGGTAAGAATTAACTGTAAATGTAACTTATATTTCGGTAAGACTTTACTGTAAATGTAACTTATACTTGGGTAAGAATTGACTGTATATGTACGTTATACTTGGGTAGGAATTTAGTGTAAATGTAACTTATATTTCGGTAAGACTTTACTATAAATGTAACTTATACTTGGGTAAGAATTATCTGTACATGGAACTCATACTTGGTTAAGAATTTACTGTACATGTACCTTATATTTGGGTTAGCATTTAAATGTAAATGTGACTTATACTTTGGTAGGAATTTACTGTACATGTACCTGATACTTGGGTAAGAATTTACTGTACATATAACTTATACTTGGGTAAGAATTAACTGTAAATGTAACTTATATTTGGGTAAGAATTAACTGTACATGTACCTTATACTTGGGTTAGCATTTAAATGTAAATGTAACTTATACTTGAGAAGGAATTTACTGTAAATATAACTTCTACTTGGGAAGGAATTTACTTTACATGTACCTTATACTTGGGTAAAAATTTAGTGTAAATATGACATATACTTGGGTAAGAATTAACTGTACATGTACCTTATATTTGGGTTAGCATTTAAATGTAAATGTAACTTATACTTGAGAAGGAATTTACTGTAAATATAACTTCTACTTGGGAAGGAATTTACTGTACATGTACCTTATACTTGGGTAAGAATGTACTGTACATGTACTTTATACTCGGGTTAGAATTAACTGTAAATGTAACTTATACTTGTTTAGGAATTTACTGTACATGTACTTTATACTTGGGAAAGACTTTATTATACATGTACCTTACACTTGGGTAAAGATTTACTGTTAATGTAACTTTTACTTGGGTAAGACTTTACTGTAAATGTACCTTATACTTCGGTAAGAATTTACTGTAAATATAACATATACTTGGGTAAGAATTAACTGTACATATACCTTATACTTGGGTTAGAATTTAATGTAAATGTAACTTATACTTTGGTTAGAATTTACTGTAAATGTAACTTATACTTGGGTAGGAATTTACTATACATGTAACCTATACTTGGGTAAGAATTTACTGTACATGTATCTTATACTTGATTAAGAATTAACTGTACATGTACCTTATACTTGGGTCAGATTTAACTGTAAATGTAACTTATTTTTGGGTAGGAATTTACTGTAAATGTAACTTATATTTGGGTAAGAACTAACTGTAAATGTAACTGATGTTTGAGTAGGAATTTTCTGTACATGTACCTTAAACTACGGTAGAAATTTACTGTAAATGTAACTTATACTTGAGCAAGAATTTATTGTAAATGAACATTATACGTGGTGGGTTAGAATTAGCAGTACATGTACCTTATACTTGGGTAAGAATTTACTGTAAGTGTAACTTATACTTGGGTCAGATTTAACTGTACATGTACCTTATATTTGGGTAAGAATCTACTGTACATGTTACTTATATTTGGGTAAAAAAATACTGTAAATGTAGCTTATATTTGGGTAAGAATTTACTGTACATGTACCTTATACTTTGGTGAGAATTTACTGTTAATGTAACTTATACTTGGGTAAGAATTTACTCTACATGTTCTTTATTCTTGGGTAGGAATTTACTGTAAATGTAACTTACAGTTAGAATTACGCCCAAGTATCCACTTTTTGTGGCACGAACGCAGGACGCACGCTTCCCGAACGGAGACGAGCCGCTATACGACCGCAGGACGA